AATATAATGCTATGACTTATCTCATATTATTGTGTTATTTTCTTAAAAAATATATTACTATATACTTGTATCTTATTAGGACTTAAGAAATATTTGGAGCACACGTTACATATTTTGTGCTATAAAGACTTTAGAAAAAACCCGAGAAAAATCAAGATTGAAAAATCTGATTTCTTTGATTTAGTTTGGTTTATAGATTTAAAAACCCGACACCATTGGTTTGGTTTGGTAATTGAAAAATTCGAACCAACCCGACCTATGTACACCCATACTTACGTGGGTAATCTAGACTAAATTATCAATTTAGTTACACCGCAAAGCATTCATATCGTCAGAAAAAGGGAAAAAAGGGCAGCCCGGAACACAAGACATCCCGCATTCATGCAGGGTAAGGAGAAGGATCTCATCCCAAGGGATGTGATATAGACAGTCTACCCTAATACAAACATTAGTGACTGGTTTCATGACTTGAACCCGTGACCTTTAGGTCACAGGGAGATAATCAATAGCACGTTCTTATTTTATAATCATATGAAATCATCATAACAAATGCCAAACTTCACCTAAATTCAAAACTCAAAAACCCAAAATTAGTAAACCATTTACACCAACAAATCATTGAGCAACCAATAACCAGTAGCAAGCGCATAAATACAAGTGAAACAGAGAACAGAGACAAACACTACAAGAAAACAGGACATTAGCTATGGAATTTAGCTTGGATACACATATCCCTAGCTAATATGCACCTTTAGCTAGGAATTTAGCTAGAAAAGTCACATTTCCTTGCAAATGTTTTCGATTAAGAATCTAGTCATAATATAGATAGGAATTAGCTAGGGACCATTCCTTGCTAAAACATAGCTAGAGATTTTCCCAAGCCAAAGTTATAGCTAATTTTTAGCGGGAATTCTAATTTGGCGCTAAATTTATTTTTCCAAAAGATCATAGGTTAGATAGGGACATAGTCCGTAGCAAATCCCTAGCAATGTGTTAGCAAGAAAAGTCTCCTAGCTAATCTATAGCTAAATGTTAGAGGGAATTCTATTTTGGCGCTAATTATTTTTCCTAAGGAACTTTATTTGTTAGCTAGGAATATATTCCGTTGCTAATCTCTAGCTAAAAAGTAGCTAAGGATGTTTCCTTGCCAAATCTATAACTAAACTTTGGCGGGAAATTCCAATATGTTACTAATATTTTGTTTAGCTATGGACGAATCCAAGTTAATCTCAAGAAAATTATTATTATTATTATTATTATGGCAATTTATTAATTACGAATGTTTAAATATGAAAATTTATCAAAATTGGTGTGGCCACAACCCACATATTTAAAATAATTTTTCTATGTATAATTAAAATGATGACTTTGTCCCGTCATTATTTCTTATCCTATCTCACCATCCTAATTAAATTTGTGGAGAATTCATCTAGAATATCTTTTAGGAGATTTAGAAATAAAATACCTTTTCGTGAAAGAATCCAGATTAGCTATCTAGCAGAAAGGTGTAGCTAATTTATAGCAATTAAAAATAAGTCCGTTGGCGCTTAAAATCTTTAGTAATATTATTTTAATAGAACTCTGTATCTCAAATCCTTAAAAACCGCTAAACATCCACGCACTCTTCCACGTCTCTTCATCCCTCTAAACCCTCAACTATCATCTTCTGATGTGTGAAAGCCGTGTACGCAAGGTGACGAGTGTGTACATGGGATTAACGTGAAAATTACCGATTTTAGCTATGTCGATTCCTTTCATGCCTTAATTGAGTTATCTTATTTTCACATGTTCTACTTGTCTTATCTCTTACTTGCAAATTGCTCTACATGTTTAATTAAAGTTCTTGTTTCCTTTATTTTGTATTCATTATTTAACCGTTGAACTCTTTTCTTGAACTTGTCATTCTTGGAATATCTTGTTGTTGAAATTGGTATTGAGTTATAAGGGTCGTGATTCACATTGAGGCAAAGTGTTAAGTGGTGAAATACTATTATGTTGAGTCATTCACTTTCGGTTGTTATTGTTAAGACTCTTGTGTACATTGTGGTTGAGCCATGGACTCTCTATTGTAAAAACACTATTATTGTTGATTTCTTTGGCAAGTTGTGATATTAGGCACTTGAGGTGCGATTTGTGTTACGTTGTGATATTGATACGCATGTAGTGATATAAGATTTTGGGGTTGAAATTCATGTGGTGAGATAAGGTGGGATTGATATGCGTGGCCAGTAGGGAAATTACTAGAAGTCATGCGGTGTGATAAAGTGGGCTAAAACGTGGGATGCTATTTCGGGAAAAATAATTTTCACAAAGGTTCCAAACTGCTTTAGCAGTATCACTTTCTAGGAAGAGGTGATTAATAGTCTCTTCCCTAGGGGGCACACAACATGAACACCGAAAAATAATGCATCGACCAAATCTAGATATGATAGTATCAACAGGAATTTTTCTATTTAAAATTCTCCATAAAGTAAAAGAAACTTTAAAAGGAACATATTTAGGCCAAGTATTGATCCATACCTGCAGCTGGTCTTTCCTCTGTCTTACAATTTCAAAGACAGTAGAACAATTGAATCTCCCATTAGTGGAAGGTGTCCATATAGCAATGTCTGCCTCCCTTCTGTCACCAATTGGAATTTGGGAAATCTTATCTAAGATATCAGCTGGAACCAATTGACTTATGAAATCAAGGTCTCATATTCCCTCATCTGTAATGCAGTCATCCAATATAAGATGCCTAGGTTTAGACTGAAGCTGCAGAATCTGGTATAGAGGGCTAGAACCAATCCAGTTATCCCACCAAAAGGATATGTTACCAGCTTGAATTCTCCATATGATATGTTTGTCAACTTGTTACCTCATATTCATAAGGTCTTTCCAGTTGCTAGAGTCACCATTCTGTTTTTGTTTGGACATAGGATGGCTTCTCTGACAGTATTTGTTCATTAGAAAACTAGATAAAAGGTTATTTTCAGATCTTAGCCTCAACCATCTCTTTGCATTAAAGGACTTAGAGATATCATGAAACCTTTTAAAACCAGCACCTCCTTCTGAAGTAGGGTAGCATAATTTATCCCATGCTCTCCAATGGTACTTCTTTTTTGTGTCATTATAACCCTAGAAAAAATTAGCAAAATATTTTCTAATTGCTTGAAAATCATTTTGGGAGGTGATATTGCAGCCAAGATATGAAGAGATTGGGACTAAAGAACATGCTTGATGAGTGTGGCTCTATCCCCAACAGATAATAGGTTACCTTGCCAACCTTTGATCTTGTTCTAAACCTTAGTAACTATATCATTGAAGTAGAATATTGTTTTTCTCCCACAGTAAATAGGGCAACCTAGATACTTAAAAGGAAAATATTGATGCTTGTAGCCTATGACTCTTTCTATCATTCTTCTCTTAGGCTTTGGAGTTTGAGCGATAGTGGCGAAGAAACTTTTCTCCTTGCTAATCTCCTGACCTGAAACTTCTTCATATTGGTGTAGTGCATTCATGGTCATCTTGATTCATCTCTTATTCCCTGAAGAGAAGATGACTAGGTCATCTGCATAACAGAGATGGTTGATCTGTGGGCCATTCTGGTTCATTGAGAAGCCAATATAACCTTCTCTATCATGGAGACTGTTAAGAGCCTTGGTTAAGGTTTCGGCAGCTAAGATGAATAAGGTCGGGGAAAGGGGGTCCCCTTGTTTAAGACCTCTAGTAGAGTGAAAAAAGCCTTGTCTAGTTCCATTAATAAGGATAGAATACCACACATCAGAGATGAGCCTAGATATAATGCCAACAAACATGTCTGAGAAGCCCATTTGCTTCAAAACTGCTGTGACGAAGCTCCAAGAAACTTTATCATATGCCTTAGCCATGTCTAGTTTGATAACGAAATTGGCCCCCGGATTGTTCATTTTTATGTTATGAACAATTTTATGTGTTAACAACACGTTCTCAGAGATTAATCTCCCTTTCATAAAGCCAGACTGATTTTGTGAAACCAGTTTATGAAGCATGCTAGAGAGCCTATTAGTTATGATTTTGGAGATAATCTTGTTAGAGAAATTGCTAAGGCTTATAGGTCTGAGTTGTGAAAAATCAAAGGGAGATTCAACCTTTGGGATTAGTACAAGATAAGTGTGAGTATAGTATTTGGTTAACTTCTTGCCGGCAAAAAATTCATGAACCATGTCCACCACCTCTGATGATATAACACCCCAGCAGTTCTGATAGAAAAATCCATTAAAACCATCTGGTCCTACAACGGAATTAGGATCCATACAAAAAATAGCATCTTTAACTTCCTCAATAGTAGGACGAGAGGTAATCCAATAATGATCCTTAACAGAAATTGTCTTCTCAATTCTGTGAATAATATCCATATTAGGTGTAGTGTCAGGCTGAGTGAAGAGATTACTAAAGTAATTGATAGCTTCATTTGAGATTTGATCGATCCCTTGGACCCAGTGGCCTTGTCTGTCCTTGATTCTGTGTAAATAGGCTCTCTTTCTCCTCTGTCTAATAACACTATGGAAGAATTTTGAATTAGTATCACCTTCCTCCTCCCACTTAACTCTATCTTTTTGCTTTAAGATGTTGGTTTGGACCTTAGTCCAGTAAATCTGCTCGGCATAAAGGCTGTGAAGGTTGGTTCTATTATACTCACTGTCATCAGCTTCATAGATAGCTTCCATTGTTTCTACCCGGTCTTCCAGACTCTTCACTTCGTCAAAAACATTGCCAATTGTATTTTTGGACCAAACACTTAACTTTTTAGCAAGTTTTTTATATTTTTGTTGGAGGATCCACATTGCATTGCCAGTAAAATCCTCCTCCCAAGTTGTCTTGACTATATTCTGAAAACTAGGTTGATGTACCCAAAAGTTCAAAAATTTAAAGTACTTGATGGCGGGAGCTTCTACAGTATTGCATTACATTAATAGCATGTTGTGGTCTGAGCCAGTCCGAGGGAGGTGCCTGGCTGTCACTACTGGAAAGTATTCAGATCACTCATCATTGTAGAGCACTCTGTCAAGTCTCTCACTGATTCTTTTACGTCTCTTTCTATTATTAGACCATGTGAAGTCATTACCAATGTAACCTGCATCTATCATGCAATAGTCATCCATATAATTAATAAAGTCTTTGCTTTTCCTGATCCTATGAGGCCTGCCTCCTTTTTTCTCAATGGCTTGCATAATGGAGTTGAAGTCTCCAAACATGGACCATGGACCTTGAATTATGTCCTTTATCTGCTCCAGTTTTTGCCATAATTTCTTTTTCCTCCTGGCCTTTGTCTTTGCATATACTATGGTTACCCAGTAGGTGTCCTGCACCATAGCATGTTGAACTGATAAAGTCAGTTGTTGTTTGTAGTTACTAATGACAGTACATGTATAATCTGCATCCCAGAAGCACCAAATCTTACCATTACAATTAGCAATAGTATGTTGGAAACCCAACTTCCTCTTGTATTGCTCTAAATTAGAGCTATGAACAAAAGGTTCAAGAAGGGCCACAAAAGAAACTTTGTAAAAATTAACAAGTTTGATGAGCCTGTCAAAGGCACCTTTTGATTCCACTCCTCTTATATTCCAAATGATTGTACTAATCATTGGAAACATCAAGATTGGGATTTTTTCGCAGGTCTTCCTCTTCCTCTGGGAGGTGGGAGATGTGATGCTTTAACTTTGTTAGGCTTATCTTTAGTAGATTGTGGTCCTCTAGGTGAAAGTCCACCTTTGCTTATCACTTCAGTGATATGCATAGCTATTTCATCTTGTTGACTTTTATTAGAAGGATCAAAGGCCTCAGCCAGGCTATTTGCCACCTCATCACTATTCGATCCCTCAGTGTTGATAGGTTGAGAGTTATTTCCCCCCTGCTTCTATTCCTTGCTTCCCTGTCTTCGCTACTGCATGTTTGGATTTAGGAGATGTGATAACTTTAACCATCCCTAATTCAATCACCAGAGTCCCTTTTAAGTTGTTCTTTTCTTTGTCTTGTGATTCTTCCAACTCATCATTTTGGAGTTGATTAAATGAATTTTGCACCAAAACTGGATGGTTTTGGACAGTATAGGAGGATACAATCTTTCCATCTTCCATTTGGTCAGTAATCAGAAGACATTCTTTTTTATTTTGGATTTTCTTGGTTCCAGATGATCCCTCATCTTCCACCACAGGAGACTTTATACTGTCTTGAGTTTTTTTATAAGGAGCTCCAGGAACTTGGATAGTTCCTTCCACTAAATGAAGTTGGCTCGTGACTTTGTTGACCTTATTTTTTTTGGATAATCTTCTGTATTACATTTCTCCTCCTCCTTTTCCTCTTCTTTTTATCTTTGGAGCTTTTATTGCTAGGTTCAGGATCCTTAGCAACTTTGGCGCTCTTAGTGATAAGGTTAGAACTCTTATCTATAGTTTCAGCCTCATTAGTGAGAGTCCTAACCTCCTCTTGTAATCAAGTCTTGTTCATTGTGTTATCTGATTTCTCTTTGCTCACTTCCGCTTGTTCAGTTCCTTTGTCGTTCACCTCTTCTTTCCCCCCATCCTTTTCCTGTGATTCAGTTTGTTTTTTCTTTTCAAGTGCTCTACATTGAGCAATTGAATGTACAAGTAATCTGCAGTGTTTATAATATCTTGGGACAACTTCATACTTCACTTTCTGAGCAAATCCCTTGAGAGCAGTATTATCGTTTTCTAGACCAACCCATACATGATAAAGTTAGGGTTTGAGTAGATCAATTTCTACTCTAACCTTGACCATCCACTGGTCTAACCTTTTGTTGCCATATCCAATCCCAGAGGAATTCCAATGGGTCTAATAATTTATTTAATATATTCCCAGGTATGTAGATGTTGCAGCAATTTGGGCAAAAGCACCCAAACAGGAGAAATAGGAATATCCTCTTCAGGTTTCCAATCGGGTGTCCATTTAGTAAGCCACATCTCAAGACCTTCAATTTCAATTCTTCTTTTGAACCAAACAATATCGAAATTTTCCAGATTATAGCACTGAATAAAAATATTTTTGTTATCATAAACACCAATTTTAGCGTTGCCTTTCAGAGCAACCTTCTCTACAAATGCCGACATGATTTTTTCAATTTTGGGTCGAATTTTTAGGAATCTTCCCACGATTAGAAATTTGCATTCTTCCGCCATCACTCCATAGTAGTCCTTAGCCTTAAAAATCACAGCTGGCATGCCATTGTGTGTTGTGGTTCTTGCTAGAACTGGAGGTCATCCATGGAGGTCTTGATTTAGGTTAGGGCGAGCTACATTAGAAATAGCAGTAGCATAGGATGATTTGGACTGATGTGGAACGGTGAGAGTATCCCCACTAGGTAGGAGATCATTTTGGGTAGCCGGACGCGCCTGAAGACTGCCGTCCGGTGGCTCCATATAGTGGAGCGTATAGTGCAAACGCTGAGATTAGAGAGAAATATTTGTATCTTGATTCAACGGCACAGTTAATAACACAAAGAGTCTCCCAGAGGATATTAATAAGATCACAACCACCAAGATCTAACCTTGAGATAGCATGGGGAAGTGCATGTCCCTCATAGATGGGGACAGTGTGGGTCACACCATCACCAGAATTAAGAACAATACCTTGTTGCAAAACGATAAACGAAATTAGTCACTTGACTATAATAGTAGAGAACCAGAATATGCTGGTATTCCTTCTTCTTCTTACCAGTTGTGCGACCATTAGCAAATAGAGAGAGAACAGCCTGGTTTGCAATATACATGGCTGGCAAATTGAATGTCTCATACATGATATGAGTCATTTTCTCTCCGTTTGCTTCGAGGTTAAGTGGTGCCTCAGTCAGCAGAATAGGATGCTCCTTGGGAGCAACACGGAGCTCATTGTAAAATGTGCGATGCCATAATTTCTCCATCTCATCCTAGTGGATTACTATGCCTTCTTCAAGAGGATATCTCAGAGTCAAAATACCTCTTTTAGACTGAGCTTGATCGCCAACATAGGCATCTTTCAGTTCCATTCCAACTTTGATGCTAGTATGTAGTGGCGGAGCCACATTGAACCAAGCCAAAAAATTACACTATATTGCTAGATAAGTTTTTATATTTTATATATACTTACTATACGTTGACTCCTCTTGACTTTTTGATGTAGCTAGTTAATTATTTTTTGACACCCCTCGATGAAAATTTTGACTGCGAGTATGACGAGGACCAAAACAGCCCTTTGGAGAATCATCCCCATCAAAGCCGACCTAAAGAAACAAACAAGGCAGTTATTATTCATTAGTAGGTCACATAGGTAAGTAATACAGTTAACACAATGTATGAAGCTGAATTTGCAAGCAGTTATCTCTAACCTTGCTCATTCGAGTTCCGTTTTCAATAACAAGTGGTTGAATATCCTTCACATCAGCCATCTCCTAAGGATTTCAAAAATATTTATTTTGCAAGTATAATTTAGGTGAGACATCACTGGTACAAATACAAAGTCAAAGTGAAAAATACTCACAAAGTCAGCTTGGTCTGTGAGTAATTTCTTCCTTTATATACATTGTCTGATTCTCTTTTTATCTGCCCTCAAGCTCAAGCTTAGATAGTGTAACACTCCTCAAATCTATAAAAGTTTCAACACATGCTAAATATAGAATTTAATTATTTTTCTTTTAATCTTAAATTATACTTAAACCCTTGTGATTGACTTTTGAGTTACTTCTCTATTTATAAATAATTGAATATACAATTAGGGGAATATTAATAATTTTAATATTATTAATTATTAAAAGTAAGTATAATTAAATATTAGTTAAGTCAAAACCAAAAAAAAAGGGAAAAACCAAAAAAATAAGGAAGCACGTGACAAGCCTTAGCCCTTTAAGGCAAAGGATTAAACAAAGGGCTTTAAGGATTAAACAGAAACATAACTCTGTTCTGTCACGCAAGGCACGCAGGCAACGAAAATAAAATTCTAGGGTTCTTTATAAATCATTAATTCTTAAACGCAGATATATAAAATTCCCTATTGTCAATTATCCTACAGTAGTAATAGGTAAGAATTGAATAGTTAATTCCCTTCTTTTTCTGTATCAACAGTAAATTTCATGTTTAGGTGAGAAACTTTAAAATTGATTAAAATGCACTGGTTATTGTAGAATCAATTATTTGACGGGTATAAATTGGACTGGGGCTTGCGTATTGGCTTAAGCAGTTTTGAGGTGAGTTGATATAACCCTTTACTAAAGTGGTTTAACTCACAAAAGCACGCATACAAGGTGTTTGATTAATTGCTTAAAAGAGTTTATATGTACTTAATTGGAGCGAGTGAGTATTTATTAACTTAGAACTGTTCTAGCAAAAGTTTAGATGATTTATTATGATATATGTGCATAAATTTTCAGATTTTTGTGTTATTCTTATATGCCATTTTCATGTTGAAAATTTATGAAGAAGCAAGAATCTTTAGAAATACTTTTGAGTGTTTATTTCATTCTTATGCCATACTTTACATTTAAGGATAACAGTATGAGTATGTATAGAATGTTCCAGAAAGGATTTAAACTTAAAAAGTCACAAGAAGAAGTTTTAGTAAGAAAAGATTTTTGGGAGTATCCTCTATTCTGAGAAGGGGTCATCGTCCAGGCCGTGGGTCCTGACCAAGGCGTTGACTTCCTGAAACTACTTGTGCCAAAGTAGGGAGCACACGAGCCGAGGGTCTCGTTGCTGAGAATTTACTTAGCCAGGCTAAGGTATGATACATGAGCGCTGAGAACCATGAAGCAAGTGGCACCTCGTGGATTGGGCCTATTCGATCAGGTTGGGATAGAACTCGTGCCGATCACACGGTGACTAAGACAAAAAGAGGTCAGGATAGTTGGAACTCCCGAAGTATAAAGTGAATTATTTTTTAATAAGAAAGAAGAAGAAAAGAATTTCTTTTAGAATGTTCATAAACTGTTATTATGCAATTATTTTAGAATTGTTCTTATAAGCTTTATGTTTTACATGCATTTAGAATCTTTGCTCATAATGTATATTTTATTAAAGTTTCGTCCCCTGTCATTGAGACTCACTGAGTACAATGGATGGTACTGACATTCTCTTTTGGGAACCTACGTTTGTCTGCGGTACAACGTAGGAACATAATTTGCAGGCGAGCAGGCTACAGGTTAGGGCTTCCCTCACTTCCAGTGCTATTGGTGAGCTCCGCTTTTATTCGTAGAGTACTCCTTTGAGTCGTCATTATTTAACTATTTCTTTGTTTACTTAGAGAACTGGCCAGGAAATTTTATGTCCTGAGCAGTGCATCAATTTATCAATAGAGGCTTCATAGACACAGTCGTTGGGTTAAGATTCAGATTTTTTTGATAATAACTCAGCGGTATTTCAGTGGTTACTACGAAAATATTTTTGGAGTTGGTTTATTTTAGATATTTAAATTAATTGAAAGTATTTGGTTAAACTTTTGTCTTGTTGCATATAAAGTTTGAAGTTATAATAGATTTGATAAGCGCAGATGGTTCGATCGGTCAAGTTTAATGATCGGGTGCCCGTCACGGCTTGTTCAGAAAATGAATCGTGACAGATAGATTGGTGCAGTAGGAATTCATTCAAGAAATTTGAAGATA